GGACTACCGGCGTGCGCCACCATGCCCAGGTAATTTTTGTATTTTTAGTAGAGACGGGGTTTCACCATGTTGACCAGGATGGTCTCAATCTCTTGACCTCGTGATCCACCTGCCTCGGCCTCCCAAAGTGCTGGGATTACAGGCGTGAGCCACCACGCCCAGCCTTTTATGTTTAATAGAATAGGAATTACTGGGTCATGAAGGTGGGTTTTTACATTAAATTTTACTAAATATTTGTTGTAACAATTTACTCTCACCAGTTAATAGGTGGCAGAGGAGTTCTTTCCCTAGTTTTTTGCCAACAGCTGACTTGTCACTTGGTTTCATTTCTATCTTTCTATGATGGCTGCGAAACAGTAACTCTGCTTTAATTTTCATTTTTCTTACTTTGTTAATAGAGAAATTCAGCATCTTTGCATGCATTCTTTGGACATTCTCTTTTCTTCTCCAAATTGCCCTTCCGTGTCCTTTTCCCATTTGCTAATGGATTGTTTATCTTTTTCTTATTAATTTGTTTTATTATTATTATTTTAGACAGAGTGTTGCTCTGTCGCCAGGCTGGAGTACAGTGGCACGATCTCGGCTCACTGCAACCTCTGACTCCCTGGTTCAAGCAATTCTCCTGCCTCAGCCTCCCAAGTAGCTGGGATTACACTTCACACACCACCACGCCCAGGTAATCTTTGTAATTTTAGTAGAAACAGGGTTTCACCATGTTGGCCAGGATGGTCTCAATCTCCTGACCTTGTGATCTGCCCACCTTGGCCTCTGAAAGTGCTGGGATTACAGGCATGAGCCACCGCACCCGGCCAATTTGTTTTATTCTTTACATATTTTGGATGTTAATCTCCTGTGTTTCTACATATGCTACAGATTCATTTTCAGTTTTTGGCTTTCCTTTTAACTTTCTGTAAGCTGTCTTACCATAGTATATTAAGGTCCCATCTTTTATTGGTTCTGTTTCAGGACCCTCTGTTCTGCTCTGTTAATCCTCTTTACTATTAAATATTTCTGCCCAAATCTGTCTTAATTAAAACTTTAGAACAGACGTGGTGGCTCATGCCTGTAATCACAGCACTTTGGAAGGCTAAGGTGGGCAGATCACCTGAGGTCAGGAGTTCAAGACCAGCCTGACCAGCATGGCAAAACACTTTCTCTACTAAAAATACAAAAATTAGCCAGGTGTGGTGGCAATGCCTGTAATCCCAGCTACTCGGGAGGTTGAGGCAGGAGAATCACTTGAACCCAGGAGGTGGAGGTTGCAGTGAGCCGAGATTGCATCACTGCACTCTAGCCTGGGCAACAGAGCAAGACTCAGTCTCAAGAAAAAAAAAAAAAAAAAGGCCTGAAGTGGTGGCTCACACCTGTAATCCCAGCACTTTGGGAGGCCAAGGTGGGAGGATCACGAGGTCAGGAGATGGAGACCATCCTGGCCAACATGGTGAAGCCCCATCTCTACTAAAAATACAAAAAAATTAGCTGGGTGTGGTGGCGAACACCTATAATCCAGCTACTTGGGAGGCAGGAGAATCACTTGAAGCTGGGAGGCAGAGAATGCAGTGAGCCGAGATCATGCCACTGCCCTCCAGCCTGGCAACAGAGTGAGACTCTGTCTCAAAAAAAAATCCTTTAAAACCATTTTAATATTTGGGAGCACAAATTCCTTCCTCTTGTTTTTTGTTTCTCTGATTATTTGTTTTTAAAAATCTTGACTTTTTTGGACCTTTACTTTTCCATATGTATTTTAAAATCAGGCATTCAAAATCTATAAGAAATTTTTTAGATTTTGGCTAAAATTATATTAAATGTATAGATTAACTTGGGGAATTGACACTCTTCAATACTGAGTATTCTGTCAATGGACTATCTTTTCATTTGAGTTATCTTTCATGTCCTTCAATATCTTTTTTGTTTTTCATGTTTTTGTTTTTGTTTGAGACGGAGTCTTGCTCTGTCACCCAGGCTGGAGTATAGTGGCACAATCTCGGCTGTCTGCAACCTCTGCCTCCAGGGTTCAAGCAATTCTCCTACCTTAGCCTCCTGAGTAGCTGGGATTACAGGTGTGCACCACCATGCCTGGCTTTTTTTTTTTTTTTTTTTGTATTTTTAGTAGAGATGGAGTTTCACTATGTTGACCAGGCTGGTCTCAAACCCCTGACCTGAGGTGATCCACTCTCCTTGACCTCACAAAGTTTTGGCATTACAGATGTGAGCCACCGTGCCTGGCCCAGTATCATTTTTATAGCTTCTTTATTCTCTAAATTTCTTACAAATCTTTGACAATATTGCTAGTTACGTACTATTGTGAATTTTTTTCTGTTGCATTATTTAATTGGCTATTACTGGTATACTGGTATATGTAAATGTAGTTGATTTTGTTTTTAATCTTGCATTTAGAAATGTGTTGATCGTCTTGTTCTAACAATTTTCTGTATATGCTCTTGAATGCTTTATACTGACAAAAATATGATCTATAAATAATGAACACAGGCTGGGAGCAGTGACTCACACCTGTAATCCCAGCACTTTGGGAGGCTGAGGCGGGCAGATCACCTGAGGTCGGGAGTACGAAACCAGCCTGGCCAACATGGAGAAACCCCGTCTCTACTAAAAATACAGAATTAGCCAGGCATGGTGGTGCATGCCTGTAATCCCAGCTACTTGGGAGGCTGAGGCAGGAGAATCACTTGAACCCGGGAGGTGGAGGTTGCTGTGAGCCAAGATCACGCCATTGCACTCCAGCCTGGGCAACAAAAGCAAAAATCCGTCTCAAAAAAAAGAAAAAGAAAAGAAAAGAATTTTCTTTCTTTCAAATCCTTATACCTCTTATTTTTTTCTTGTCTAATTGGGTTGGCTGAGACATCAGGACAATGTTGCACAGCAGGAGTAGAGGCAGCCAGCCCTGTGATTCTGCTGATCTTAGGAGAATGCTCATTACATTTCATCATTTAAGAATGACAAGTTTTTGACAGATCACTGTTATCAAAATATCTTGTAGGTTTCAATGGATGGCCTTTATTAAATATTTTGCTAATAGTTATATCATTTAAAAATTTTGAATAAGGTTGAGCATAGTGGCTCACGCCTATAATCCTAGCACTTTGGGAGGTTGAGGCGGGTGGATCACTTAAGGCTAGGATTTGAGACCAGCCTGGCCAACTTGGCAAAACCCTGTCTCTACTAAAAATACAAAAATTAGCTAGGATTGGTGGCAGGCACCTGTAATCCCAGCTACTTGGGAGGCTGAGGCAGGAGAATCACTTGAACTCAGGAGACAGAGGCTGCTGTGTGCTGAGATTGTGCCACTGCACTCCAGCTGGGCAACAGAGCGAGACTCTTGCCTCAAAACAAACAAACAAACAAACAAACAAATAAAATTGAGACCGGGCATGGTGGCTCACGCCTGTAATCCCAGCACTCTGGGAAGCTGAGGCAGGCAGATCACCTGAGATCAGGAGTTTGAGACCAGCTTGGTCAACATGGTGAAACCCCGTCTCTACTAAAAATACAAACATTAGCCGGCTCTGATGGCACGCACCTGTAGTCCCAGCTACTCAGGAGGCTGAGGGAGGAGAATCACTTGAACCCGGGAGACAGAGGTTGCAGTGAGCTCAGATCATGCCACTGCACTCCAGCCTGGGTGACAGACTGAGACCTTATCTCAAAAAAAAAAAAAAAAAAAAAGTGTTGAGTTTTAGCAAATACTAGATAATCATATGGTTTTTTATTGGTTGATGTGATGAATTATTTACTATGAGTATATTTTCTTCTTTTTGCTAAGGTGTTTACCTTAGCCTTCTAAGACCTCAGTCTACTCGTATATCTATTTCCTTTTTTTTTCAACATACTACTATCTTTACATTGTCTTTTCTGAACAGATGAGCTAAACAAAAACTAGAATTCGTTTCTTTGATAGAGTCTTCATAGGGCATTCTTCACGCCTGCTCGAACACAGAAGGAAAGTTCCAGTACTGTGCTCATTTTGCAAATGAGGAAGGTGAGGCTTAAAGTGATGACATAACAGCAAGCAAGGGCTGGTTCTGGAGTTTGAATTCGGACAGCCCGACTTGCAGGATGTTTTTCTAGGATAAGAGTGTCCTTAAGGGACACTCTTTTCCATAGAATTTCTTTACTGTTCAATAGATTTTCTGCAGCATCACAGTGGACTAGATAGGGAGGGTGTCCTGATGGGGTTGGAGTTTCCTGAGGTGTCAGAGGCACTGGCAGGTCTAAGTAACTTTGGATGGCTAAAATGCTCTAGGAATCACAGTGACTTGGTACAGTAAGATATTCCTCTGGGCATTGTAGTGAGACTGCGTCTGTACAAAAACATGCAAACACTAGCTGGATGTGGTGGTGCACACCTCTAGTCCTGGCCATTCAGGAGGCTGAGGCAGGAGAATTGCTCGAGCCCAGGAGTTTGACGCGGCAGTGTGTTACGATCACAACTGCACTCCAGCCGGGATGACAGGACAAGACCCTGTCTCAAAAAAAGTGTATACATATATGTATGTGTGTATATATATATATACACACACGCACATAATCATCTAGGGTCAAATACCCTAGAAGGTAGGGTGTTCATATGCTCAGAGTAAGCTACGGTTTATAGTAATCAGGGGAATCAGTGTGTCGTCATAGAGACCTGATCCGCTGGAGACTCAGGGGGTCCTTGTACGGTCAGCGTAGTGTCCTGTGGGTTTGATAAGCAGGCCCATGTAGGTTCCAAGTGTCTTGTAGGACTTCTTTTTTTTTTTTTTTTGACAGAGTTATCGCTCTGTCGCCCAGACTGGAATGCAGTGGCATGATCTCAGCTCACTGCAATCTCCGCCTCCCAGGTTCAAGTGATTCTCCAGCCTCAGCCTCCTGAGTATTTGGGACTACAGGCATGTGCCACCACGCCTGGCTAATTTTTTTCAGTAGAGACACTGTTTCACCATGTTGGCCAGGCTTGTCTTGAACTCCTGACTTCAGGTTTTCTGCCTGCATCAGCCTCCCAAACTGCTGGGATTACAGGCATGAGCCACAGTGCCCGGCATCTTGTAGGATTTTAAAAGGTCAGAGGGCCCTGGGGAACAGGGTGTTTAGAGGATCCAAAGAGACCTCATAGGATCAGAAGAGATCTTAACAGTGAAAGAGAGTCTGGGAGACTTAGAACATCTTGGGAAGGCAGGGGTATTGGAGAGAGAGGGCGTCAGGGGAGGCAGCTGTTCTGGGCCTACAGGAATTTTCATCATGTCAGAACACTTGAAGTATCCTTGCAACATCACCAGCTTTGAGGTCAGACTGTCCTGGAAGATCACACCGCTTGCATGGAGTTAAGATGTTTTGAAGGTGGGTCTGGCTCCGTGATTCAGAGACTCCTGGATGTCCTGGGAGTCCAGAGCTGTGAAGGTTTTCAGGTAGGTCAGCATATCCTTTTGGTATTTGAATGCAGGAAATCAAGGTTTTCTGGATCTCTGGTGGTCCTCGAAGGTTTGGGTAGACTTGAATGGACCTGTCATGGAGTAGAATACCAAGGTATCCTTGTACAATCAAAGCATTTTCAGGAAATCAGAGGGTCCTGGATGAGCAGAACGTGCTAGGCAGGGGTGAGAGTATGGCAGAAGTGAAGATGTTCCAGCAGTTCTGGGGATGTATTCTACAGAGTGTCTTGCAGGAAATAGTTGCCTTGAGAGGACAGAATCTCTCGAGGGTTAGAATAATCGCCTTTTGGATTCAGGGGGCCCTAATGTGTCGAAGCTGTGCTGGGCTGTCTGTGTGTTAGGAGAGGGGGAGAGTGACTGCGACTAGGGTGCCTACTGACAAGTCTAGGGCTGAGACAGCCAGAGTACACTGGAAGGTTGGAGAGCCTTGGCATTAAGACATCCCATGTGTCAAAGGCATGTTGGATGGTCAGAGTGCTTTGGGAGACCAGGATATGTCTTTACTTCGTCAAAATGTCCTGTGGATCAGGCTAGTGTGGTCAGGGTATTTCCTGGGTTGGGGTTGGCGTGTTGAATGGTTTTTCAGTGTCAGCATCACCTTTGCAAGATTCAAGCAAATTGGGGGCTCTGAATGGGCAGGAAGGCAAGATGCCTTGACTGTCTAGATTCCGTAAGGTGAGGAATTCCTTAAAAGGTTAGAATTTCCCAAATCTCACCATGTCCCTGTGGTCTGGGTGTCTTAGAGGGTCACAGAGTCATTGTGAGCCCAAGCTCTCGTGCTGAGTATAAGGTACAGAGGTCTGAGCCTCTCGGAGGGTCTATGTGTCCTAGAGAGTGAATGCATCCTCAGTGCCCTTGTGATTCAAGGGCCTGACAGGACCAGCATGGGCACCCCCGGCAGCAGGGTGCATTGGAATTCAGTGTTCTCCTGTGAGTCTGAGCTGACTGCGCGTCACTGGGTCTTGCTAGGTTAGGACTGCCGTGGGGTCCAGGTGCTCCAGGAGGCCGCAGGGGAGAAGGATTAATATTAAGAGCAGTGTTGCTCAACTTTAACATTATGGACTAAACTTTTGTGTGCCTCCAAAATTTCTATGTTGAAGTCCTAACACCCGATGTGATGGTATTTGAAGGTGGGGATTTGTGGAGGTGATTGGGTTTAGATGAGCTCATGAGGGTGAGGGCCCATGATGGGATTAGTGTCCTTAAAAGCAGAGGAAGAGAAACCAGAGCTGGTTCTTTCTCCACCATATGAAGGCACCGTGAGAAGGCAGCCAGCCCTCTGCAAGCCAGGAAGAGAGCCCTCACAGGGGAGCCGAATAGGCGGACCCCTTGATCTTAGACTTCCCAGCCTCCAGAACTGTGAGCAACAAAAGTCTACGGTTTAAGCCACACAGTCTGTGCTATTTCGTCATGGCAGCCCCAGCTGACTCAAGACCCACGTGCACTTGGTTCTCCTGGAGATCTTGGTACAGGGGAGATTGTGACTCAGCAGGACGGAGGTGGGGCCCGGGGATCTGCATTTCCAGCACGCTCCCGTTGCTGCTGCTGCTGTTGATCCATGGACACCACCGTAAGCATCGAAATCCTAAAGGATTATGATTTCCTGTCTTGAATCATCAGGGTGTTTTTAAAGGACCTGTATGATGGCATGACCTTGGGAATCAGACTGTCCTGTGGGTACAGTGTGTTCCGGGGGGGGGTCCATGTGTCCTGAGAAGTAGAGGTGAAGTGTTCTGGGTGTCAGTGTGTCCCGGGGGATCCTAAGGTACTGGGCTGTCGCATCATCCTTAAGCGGTCAGGGTGTCCTAGGGATGTCAGAATATACTTCCTGGGTCTAAGTAACCTCAAGGGACAGACTACTGTGGGACCAGGCTGTCCCGACTGTTCAGGGATTCCCGGTGTCAGGATTTCCTTGAAGAATCAGAATGTAGTATGCCACGGGAATCTCAGTCACTTTCCGAGTCCTGAAGTCTGGGGCAGGATGGGGGGTCAGGATGCACCTGGAATGCAGATGTTCAGGTCAGCGTTTTCGGAGGGTCTGGGTGACCTCGGAAGGTCATGGTGTCCTGAGGGTTCCGGGTGAATGAGGAGGTGGTGTTTGAGGGAGGAAATCAGACAGTACTTGAGAGCTAAGGTGTCCTGGAGGCCCATTCTCCGGAGTGGGTTCAGGTTGGCCTGAGCACTGGCTGGTGTATTCTGAACTATCAGGGTGTCTGAGAGGGGCTGGCGTGCACTTGTGACTTCTTCTTTTTCAGTTTCCCGGAAACAGGTCCTTGGGTGTCACCCCCATGCTGAGATGCCAGGCAGGCTCCACTCCTGGGTCCCTTTCCCCAGCTCTTTGTTCCTCTCCCCACAGTGGGGTTGTGAGGAGGGGGTCTCAGGAGGAATGCATTTTCTCCTCCTCCCCCTGCCTGCTCCCAGGAGGGGATTTAATAGGACAAAAGAATCCCGTCCTCTGGGAATACGAGCCCTTGGCCCCAGTCCCTGGACCCTCCGACAGAACACCTTCCCTCATCCGGCTTGTGATCCTCCCTGAGCAAGGGGGCTCTGGCGACCGTGTGGTGATTGGAGGGGCCCGCAGGGGCGAGGAGGAGGTCACTCCTCCACGACTGGGGAGTGGAATGGGAAAGTAGGCAGCTGACAGAAGAGAGCGGCATCCCGGTGGAGAGAAGGGCCAGGCAGAGAAAAGTAGAGTCAGAAACAGAGCAACAGGTGAGGCCGAGACAGGAGAATGAGATGACACTCAAGCCAAGGAAGGGGGAATTAGGAAACAATTAGAAAAAAGGTAAAGACAGTGAAAAGTCAGAGATAGCTACCTGCACCTACACACATTCAGACAGAGACCCAGAGGGTGGCACACGCAGGGGGAGAAGGGGAGAGAACAGGTGTGGAGAGGAGCTGCGGAAGCAGAGAAATCTTGAGTCAGAGATTCAGGGACACTTGGTCCCCGTGGCGAGCCATGGAAGCAGAAAGGAAGCGCCAGGCCGAGAAGCCAAAGAAGGGACGAGTCGGCAGCAGCCTCTTGCCAGAGAGATACCCGGCCGCTGGGACCCTGACCACCATGGTGGGTGAGTGACTGTCCCGGTGTGCGTGGGTCCCTGAGGAGGTAGCGGGTGTGAGGCTGAAAGTATAGGCTCCATGAAGAAGGTTAGGAGGAGAAACTAAAAACAGAATCCCAGCATGTTAAAACTGTGGGAACCTTCAAAAGTAAGGGACTGGAGCACCCCTCGGCTTTACAGACTGGGGAACCGAGCCCTTGGCAGGCGGGGGCGGCTGAACAGCTCACATCGCGGTGGGGATGTGAGACAGTTACCTTTGTCCCCTCACTCCTGACCTCAGCATTGGTCAGCCCAAGGCACTGCCTTCTCTGATGAAGGCAGGTGGAGGGGCCAGGGCTTTGGGTCCCGGGTGGGAGAGCGGGCTCCGTGTGTGTCCCCATGGCGGACAGTGAGCTCTAGGAGGGTCCACACCCTTGGGCCCCCATGGGGACGGTGCCTCAGCTCCAAACATCTTTTCTTGGTGGGCGCCTTCCAGGTGTGCCGTTTCCCTCCCTGTTCTCTCCTCCCCAGCAGCTCTCAGACTAATTAGTGTGGGGGCTTAGGGAGCCTGTGGGGAGGAGAGGCAAGCCTTTCCCACGAGCTCAAGTTCCTGCAGGCTGGTGGCTGGGCCAGGGCAGGGGTAGGGAGAAGATGAAAAGTAAGTAGGGAAGGGTGTGTCTGAGCGGAAGAGGGGGGTGCTCATCTTCCCAGGTGAGGGGTGCAGGAGATGGCAGCAGTTTGAAGAAGGCGCAGGTTGAACCTGAGCCTCGCCAGCAGGGGACAAGCACTGGGTCTTCCCTAGACCGCTGGGATGGTGGTTAGGGTGCAGGTGCACACAGCAGACCCGCAGGGTGAGCCCTAGGCGGTTGTGTGTGTCCAGAGAGGTGAATGTCCATGGAGGGGTGTGTGTCTGGCGGTGCAGTAGGAAGCGGGCAGACGATAGAGTGGCCAGGTAGACAGTGCACGAGTGCCAGGGCCAGGAATGAGTCTGAGGGTGTGCCCTGCGTAGACAGCACAGCCTGGTGTCAGAGACTCAGAGGCAACCAGGGCCGAGGCTGAGCAGGGTGCAGGAACCAGGCTATGGGCAGCTAAAAGATTCCTGGTGGGGCAGGGCTGGGGCCAGTGGCTCAGTCCTGTAATCCCAGCACTTTGAGAGGCTGATATGGGAGGATTGCTTGAGGCCAGGAGTTTGAGACCAGCCTGGGCAACATAGCAAGACCCCATCTCTAATTTTTTTTTTTAATTGGCTGGGTATGTTGGTGCCTACCTGTAGTCCCAGCTACTCAGGAGGCTAAGGCAGTAGGATCATGGAGCCCAGGGGTTCGAGGCTGCAGTGAGCTGTGATCACACCACTGCACTCCAGTCTGGGAGACAGCAAGACTCTGTCTCAAAAAAAGAAAGAAAGAAAGAAAAAAGATTGGAGCAGCACAGGAAGCACTGAGCGGAATCCGGGGACAGGCACATGTGGTCCAGCACTGAGGAGCGTCCTCCTCAGAAGCCACCTCTCGCTTCTCTCCCTTCTCAGACTCGAGTGCTCCACCCTGCAGGAGGCTCCCTGGTGCAGGAGTCGGGAGACCAAGGTTCTCCCCGCAAGGAGGACAGAGGGGCCGCCCGCACTCCCGGCGCCGCCATCGCACCACCTTCAGCCCAGTGCAGTTGGAACAGCTGGAGTCAGCCTTTGGGAGGAACCAGTACCCCGACATCTGGGCCCGGGAGAGTCTTGCCCGGGACACCGGCCTCAGCGAGGCCCGAATCCAGGTGATGCTCCAGGATCCCTCCTCTCTCAGGGAAGAAATGCAGGTTTCTTTGGTGCTATCCTAGAATGTTAGGCATTGTAACCCTAACCTAAACAGTCACCAGACACAGGCCTCATCAGACCACCAGCATCAGAGCGTCTGCATCGAGACTATCATATCACTTGAGTTTAACCCTAGCTATATGCTAATCTAACTTGAATTTCAACACCTACCCTCAATTTTTAATAGTGATGCCAATTCTGACTGGGCACAATGGCTCACGTCTGTAATCCCAGCACTTTGGGAGGCCAAGGTGGGTGGATCACACAAGGTCAAGGGTTCAAGACCAGCCTGGTTAACATGGTGAAGCCCCATCTCTGCTAAAAATACAAAAAATAAGCTGGGCATAGTGGCAGTTGGCTATCATTAATCCCAGCTACTCGGGAGGCTGAGGCAGGAGAATCACTTGAACCAGGGAGGCAGAGGGTGCAGTGAGCCAAGATCGTGCCATTTCACTCCAGCCGAACAACAGGAGCGAAACTCTGTCTCAAAAAAAAAAAAAAAAAAAAAAATATATATATATATAGTGATGCCAATTCCAACGGAAGTTCAATCCTAACTGTTCACACACATTCGGAACCTTGTCCCTAATAATAGCCTTGAAACTCAATGAGCCAGACGCTCCTTCAACCCTAACCCCAGAGTTGGTTAGCTTTAATAAACCCTACCCTAAATTCAAGCTTGTCTATAGCAATTACATTTATCTACAGTCTTCATTGTTAAACTTAACCGTAGGGGAAATTTCCCATTCTCTGGGGAAGGGAAATGTCACTGTCACCATATTTATCTCCTTGTTGGAAGTTGACATTTCTTATTCGCCCAGAGTGGTAGAAAAGAGCACGTGTGGATGCAGGTTGGGGATAAGTCTGTGGGTTCCTTTGGCAGCAGACCAGGCTCAGCCAACCTTGTGGAAGGGCTTTACTTCCTCTGGCCATGCTGGAGAGGCCTGCTCCCTGTCCCTGCACCTCTTGTCGTTGGAGTAGGGTGTCAGCACCAATGTCAGGTGTGGGCTCTGATGTGTTTGCTCCCCCTTCTCAGGTCTGGTTCCAGAACCGCAGAGCTAAGCAACGGAAGCAAGAGCGCTCACTGCTTCAGCCCCTGGCCCATCTGTCTCCTGCCGCCTTTTCCAGCTTCTTGCCAGAGTCCCCTGCTTGCCCCTACTCCTACGCGCCACCACCGCCACCAGTGACCTGCTTCCCTCACCCCTACAGCCACGCCCTCCCCTCCCAGCCCTCCACAGGAGGCGCCTTTGCTTTGCCACACCAGTCTGAGGACTGGTACCCTGCCTTGCACCCAACCCCTGCTGGCCATCTTCCCTGCCCCCCACCCCCTCCCATGCTCCCCTCAGCCTTGAGCCATCCAAGTCCTGGAACTGAGGTGAAACAAGTACCACTAAGGTGATCCCCAGCCTGTGGCCCTCGTGACAAAACAAGAAATTGGGGTGGCTTCCTTTCCTTCTATGGGCGAAGCAGAAGTATGGTGAGGGTCGGCTCAGCAATTGGAAATGTAAAAGTGGGAGATCATGGTGAATTCTCACTGTGGTGATGAGTGGAGGAAATCTGGGGAGGTGAGCTGCTGGAAGAGACAGGCAAAGAGGCCCCCGTGGAGCTGCCTGCTGAAGGGTGATATTGATGGAGACAGTTGCTGGTGAGTGGAGATGATTGAAGGGCTCGGACGTGAGGGCCTTCATTAACTGAGATCACAGTTGAAGAAGATCCCAGCTCTTTCTGGCTGATTTCAGTAAGGCTTCTGATTTAGAGTCTACCTATATATCCCTTCCCCATTGCCCACCCCGCCATCCCAATCAGTCACTCACTTTTGTTTATTCTGTCCTAGGATTTTTTTTTTTTTTTGAAATGGAGTCACCCAGGCTGGAGTCCAGTGGCGCGATTCTGGCTCACTGCAAACTCCACCTCCTGGGTTCACACCATTCTCCCGCCTCAGCCTCCTGAGTAGCTGGGACTACAGGCGCCCACCACCACGCCCAGCTAATTTTGGTTTTGTATTTTTAGTAGAGATGGGGTTTCACTGTTAGCCAGGATGGTCTCGATCTCCTGACCTCGTGATCTGCCCGCCTCGGCCTCCCAAAGTGCTGGGATTACAGGCGTGAGCTGCTGCGCCCGGCTGAAATATCTCTTGGGAGTGTCTTCTCCTTTCCATTCCAGCAGAGACTTGGCTTTTTCTGACCCCGTATTTTCTGACTTACTGGCTGCATAGGTTCCCTTAACTCTAGTCTATCCCACTTCCAACAAACCTGTGCAAATCTGAACATCAAGGAATGCCCTCCAATGTCTTATAAAAAATACATAAATAACATTTGATTAGTTTTGCCTGTAGAAGTCTTCAACATCTGCCTTCAACTAACTTTTAAATCAGCGGCACATTTTAACATATGTGGTTTCTGATGGAGAAGAAGCCATTTGATTTAGGGCAAACTTTTCTAACACCAAACCGTCTGAGGCTGATAAGGGGCCATTCCCAGGAAGGGACCTGCCTTGTCTGGGAAATGCCTTGGTCTGAACCCTCTCAAAAGAAACAGCATGGAGCCTAGTTCATGGTACAATTTTTATATCATATTGCTTATTATGCACTTATTTTACTCATAATTCACTGATTTACATGTAGACTTACCTCTCTTATTGGCAGGTTCATAGAAGACTACTTTTTTAATTTTTAATTTTTTTTTTTTTGAGATGGAGTTTTGCTCTTGTTGCCCAGGCTGGAATGCAATGGCGTGATCTCAGCTCACTGCAACCTCTGCCTCCCGTGTTCAAATGATTCTCCTGCCTCACCCTCCCGAGTAGCTGGGATTACAGGGTGTACCACCACGCCTGGCTAATTTTTTGTATTTTTAGTAGAGATGGGGTTTCACCATGTTGTCTAGGCTGGTCTCGAACTCCTGACCTCGAATGATCCACCTGCCTCAGCCTCATAAAGTGCTAGGATTTCAGGTGTGAGCCACCATGCAAGGCCTATTTTTCTTTTTTAATTTTTATTTTTTCATGTGCCTCTAGATAAGATTTTTATTCTTCGGTTTTTTTTCCCCTCCTTCTTTCATCCCTCTCCTCTCTTCCAACTCCTCTTCCCTGTCCCATCCTTGCTACCCATTTAGTGGGAAGGAAGTTTCCCTGTGCCTGCAGCCCTGCTCCCCAACCCTCAGCAGTGTTACCTTCTGCAGAAGCAGGGCAGAGGTTGGGGACAAGGGATGGGGAGGCAGCTGGAAGGAGTGAAGAATGAAGCCTGTGGAGAGAGGTGGGTGGTGATGGCAGCAGTGGCGGCTGTCAGCTGGCATTCTTGTGCTCACAGCACTTCACAGAATAATTTTTTTTTTTTTTTTTTTGAGACGGAGTCTTGTTGTGCCCCAGGCTGGAGTGCAGTGGCGCGCGATCTCGGCTCACTGCAAGCTCCGCCCCGCCGGTTTCACGCCATTCTCCTGCCTCAGCCTCCCAAGTAGCTGGGACTACAGGCGCCCGCCACCTCACCCGGCTAATTTTCTTGTATTTTTAGTAGAGACGGGGTTTCACCGGGTTAGCCAGGATGGTCTCGATCTCCTGACCTCGTGATCCGCCCATCTCGGCCTCCCAAAGTGCTGGGATTACAGGCTTGAGCCACCGCGCCCGGCCGAATTTTTTTTTTTTTTCTTGAGACTTAGTCTTGCTCTTGTCACCCAGGCTGGAGCGCAATGGTGTGATCTCGGCTCATTGCAGCCTCCACTTCCCAGGTTCAAGCAATTCTCCTGCCTTAGCCAACCGAGTACCTGGGAGATTATAGGCATGCACCACCATGCCCACATAATTTTTTTTTTTTTTTTTGAGACGGAATCTCCCTCTGTCACCCAGGCTGGTGTGATCTCAGCTCACAGCAACCTCCGCCTCCAGGGTTCAAAGTGATTCTCCTCTCTCAGCCTCCCAAGTAGCTGAGACTACAGGCACCCACCACCAAGGCCTGCTAATTTTTCTATTTTCAGTAGAGATGGGGTTTCACCATATTCATCAGGCCAGTCGTGAACTCCTGACCTCAGGTGATCCGCCTGCCTCGGCCTCCCAAAGTGCTGGGATTACAGGCGTGACCCACTGCACCCGGCCTCATCTAATTTTTGTATTTTTAGGAGAGCTGGGGTTTCACCACGTTGGCCAGGCTGGTCTCGAACTCCTGACCTCAGGTGATCCATCTGCCTCGACCTTCCAAAGTGATGGGATTAAAGGCATGAGCTACCACACCCATCCCATAGAATAATCTTTAAACAAGCCTTTAGTGATGGATACTCAAGTCGTGTGTAGTCTTTTAATATATATTATTAAAAAGTCTGGAGTCACAACCCCTGTATTACACACTTGCACTCCTACCTAATTATGTCCTTGGGCCAGACTGCCTTCTAGAAAAATTACACTGATTTGAATTCCAGCAAAAGAACCTGGTATTGGTTTCAGTACCTCCTTGTTAACCTGTACCATTTTTGACAATTTGTTAACTGAGAGTGATGTCTTCTAAGAGTTGCTTATTTTAAAATGTTCATTAATTGCTAGTGAGAGTTAAAACAGTTTCATGTTTATTGGCAATTTACATTTTTCTTTTTTTTGAGACGGAGTCTCGCTCTGTTGCCCAGGCTGGAGTACAGTGGTGCGATCTCGGCTTACTGTAAGCTCCGCCTCCCAGGTTCACGCCATTCTCCTGCCTCAGCCTTCCGAGTAGCTGGGACTACAGGCGCCCGCCACCACACCCAGCTAATTTTTTGTATTTTTAGTAGAGACGGGGTTTCACCGTGTTTGCCAGGATGGTCTCGATCTCCTGACCTTGTGATCTGCCCATCTTGGCCTCCCAAAATGCTGGGATTACAGGCATGAGCCACCGCGCCTGGCCTATTTTTCTTTTCTGCATTGCCTCTGCGTTGTGTATTTGTATATTGATATAGTCATCTTTTATTAGCGTCTGAGTGCTTTGTGGATTAGGGATATGAATTCCTATTCATACATGTTGCAACTTTTTTTTTTTTTTTTTTGAGACATAGTCTCGCTTTGTCGTCCAGGCTGGAGTGCAGTGGCACCATCTCAGCTCACTGCAAGCTCTGCCTCCCGGGTTCAAGCGATTCTCCTGCCTCAGTCTCCCAAGTAGCTGGGGCTACAGATGCACACTGCCATGCCCGACTAATTTTTGTATTTTTAGGAGGTTTCACTGTGTGGGCCAGGCTGGTCTGGAACTTGTGAGCTCAAGCAATCCACTGGCCTCGGCCTCCCAAAGTGCTGGGGCTACAGGTATGAGCCACCACGCCGGGCCACATGTTGCAACTATTTTCGACAGGTGGTTATTTGTCTTTTAGCCTTTCTCAGTGACAGTTTCCTGAGAGAATTAACACTGATTTCCTACACCTGTTGTATGTAAGGCATTAACTTCTGTCTTAAACATCTAGAATGACACCAGTTTTGTAGAACTGGTAGATGTTTTAGAAATCAGTCACTCAGTTCATTTTCTGTGTTATGTGGTTCAGATGAAGAGCCCCAGGTGAGAAATCTGGTTTTAGTGGTTTGATCTGTTTTCTTTATTATTTGGATCAAAATGTTATGCCTTGAATCACCTGAAATTTATTTTGCTCTGTGCAGCAAAATAGTCTTGCAGTTTCCCTCAATCAGCTAATTAGTTATTCCAATGTCATTTACTTAATAGTCAAACTTCACCCTACTGATTTGTAAAATCATAATTTTTCATATACTGAGTTCTTATTTTTATATATATATGTGTGTGTGTGTGTGTATATATATATATATATATATATGGGACAGCTGTGGACTCCTCATTCTTTTTCATCAGTTTCTCTATTCTAGTTCAGCACCACAGTGTTTTAATGATTGAAAATGTAAGAATTATCGATACCTTTAAAATGTTTAATTTTCTTATCCAAACACAAGGTGTGTCTTGTCGTTTCTTCCAGACTTCTCTTATGTCCTTCAGGAATTTAAAAAAACACAAATCTTTTTTTTTTTTTTTTGAGATCGAGTCTTGCTCTGTCTCCCAGGCTGGAGTGCAGTGGTGAGATCTTGGCTCACTGCAACCTCCGCCTCCCAGGTTCAAGCAATTCTCTTGTCTCAGCCTCCAGAGCAGCTGGGGCTACAGGTGCATGCTACCAAACCTGGCTACTTTTTGTATTTTATTTTTATTTTTATTTTTTTTAGTAGAGACAGGGTTTCACCATGTTGGCCAGGTTAGTCTCGAACTCCTGACCTCAAATGATCCACCCACCTCAGCCTCTCAAAGTGCTGGAATTGCAGGCATGAGCCACTGCGCCTGACCAGAATTTTTCTTTAAAAAACAACTTCAATATATCATATCCTTTTATAAAGTGTTTAAATGTGCAAAATAAACATTATGTAAAAGTTTAAAAATGATTATATGTTTACTTCTGCATGGTATATGTTAGAGCGCTGATTCGCAGTGGGCAGGCCTGTGCAAATCCACTCCAAAGTCCAAGGAAGCTAAGAGGCCAAAGAAAGAGGCTGACCAATTCAGTTTCTTAAAAAGAAACATTGAGGCCAGGCACTGTGGCTCACACCTGTTATCCCAGCACTTTGGGAGGCTGAGGTGGGCAGATCACGAGGTCAGGAGTTTGAGACCAGCCTGACCAACATGGTGAAACCCCGTCTCTACTAAAAATACAAAAATTAGCCAGACATGGTGGCACACACCTGTAATCCCAGCTACTCAGGAGGCTGAGCCAGGAGAATCGCTTGAATCTGGGAGGCAGAGGTTGCAGTGAGCTGAGATCGCACCAGTCCATTCCAGCCTGGGTGACAGAGCGAGACTCCATCTCAAAAACAAAAAACATTGAACAGGGCCTGACAGCAGAAGCCACATCCGTGTCCTGGGCTGTGGCCAGAGAAGA